CTACTATTACTACTACTGCTGCTATTACTATTGCTACTACTACTGCTACTACTATTATTATTATTATTACTATTACTACTACTACTACTGCTGCTACTACTACTGCTCCTACTACTACGGCTGCTACTACTACGACGTCGACGACGACGAGGGGCGGAGCGCGTAATCAGCCAGTGCCAGTTAGCACGCCGAAGCCTCCAGAAATAGCGCAGGCACAGGAATTTCTTGTGAAGGTGTTGGCATAAACTCGCCGATTTCTTGTCGGAATTCGTCACCCTTTGCGGAGATCGTGCGAGGCGAAAGTGCGGCCTTAGCATATTCGGTAGGTGCAGTGCTTTTGAAGGTTTGAGGTGTATTCGGAAAGTATCAATGCTGGCAAGAAATCCTTTTTTTTTTGGCGCCGAAATTTGTAGCTTTCTGCGGAGTTTGCATGTCGGGAAAGTATGTATTAGGATATGCCTTAAGTACCGAAACAACCCCGAGGCTAAAATACAAGAATCCGAACGCCCAAAACCTAGACATCACCGAGCCTGAGACAGCCCCAAAACATAAATCCTGAACAATCGCACACCCCAAATCCCTAAATCCTAGATTACCTGAAGCACTAAAACGCAAGCAACTTCAGCGGGAGGCCACGCAGTTCTAGGATGGACCGTCGCCCAGAACAGTACCCAAGCCCTAAAGCCTCAAAAAAGCCCAAACCTTTTTCCTAACAACCCTAGAGATCCCCAAGCTCTAAATCCTAAAAGCAAGAGTAACGCCAACCCCGAAACACCGAACAACCCAACTCCTAAATCCCGATAATTCATGATAATTCTTAAACCCTGGACAGCCCGAAATCCTAGATCTCGACAGCTCTGAACCCTAAAAGCCAAAACAAGCTTGAACCCTAAGACCCGAGACAAGCCCGTAAACAATCCGTGACCCTAAGATTTCCAAAGCCCTGCAACCCAAAGAAACCCAAATCCTAACACCTAACAAGCTCAACGCCCAAACAACTCCAAACCTAAACAACCTCAAACCCTAAAGCTCAAAAAAGCCCAAACCCTAAACCAAAGGGGCGCGACGTCCAAGGTGCACGTGGGGTGTGCGTCTAAGGTGCACGCGGCGTGTCGTAATCGACCACCCTCTTCGGTGGGCGGCGGCAGCACTGGCGCGTGGAGCGTCCGGAGACTTCTCTTCGGAATCATGGCAGCGCTGGCGGCGCCGCGGCAACGCCTTCGCGCCAGTAACTCGCGGCGGCTACACCGGCCACACACAGCGCAGGACCTAGACCGCATGGCGTACGCCACAGCAGCTACACTGCGGATGTAGACCGCGGCACCTGCACCGCGCCACACCACAGCACCTGGAACCATGGAGTGCATTCGAACACGAACGTTATAATGGTTTGGGCATGGATGCACTGCTCACCATATGCTCTTGGAACACAAACGTGACTATGTCTTGGGCATGGATGCCCTTATCGTCGAGTGCACTCAAACATGATCGTTACTATGGTTTTGGCATGGCTGCTTTCATCATGGAATGCAGTCGAACACGGTCGTTATTCTGGCTTGGGCATGGATGCTCTCAAGATCGAGTGCACGCGAACACGACCGTTATTATGGTTTTGGCATGGATGCTCTCAAGCTCGAATGCACTCGAACACGAACGGAAGTATCGCTTGGCCACGGGTCCTCTCATCATCGAGTGCACTCCAACACGAACGTTATGATGGTTTGTGCATGGATGCTCTGGTAGCCGTATGCTCTTGGAACACGAATGTTATTATGGTTTGGACCTGGATGCTCCCAACATTGGTGCATTCGAACACGATCCAATCATTGAGCGCACTCGAACACGCACGTTATGATGGTTCGGGCATGATGCTCTCATCATCGAGTGCACCCGCCGAACACGAGCCGTATTATGGTTTGGGCATGGATGCTCTCATCATCGAATGCACTCGAACACGAACGTTATTATGGTTTGGGCATGGATGCTTTGGTAAACGTATGCTGCTGGAAACGAGACAAGATTGCGGATGCTTTTGACAACAATAATTCCCGGGCAAACGCCCAGGGTGCAGCCCAGTATTTTCAGTAGACCTAGTCTTAGTATTGGTTTTAGTACTAGTATTAATATTAGTACTAGTATTAGTTCTAAACCCTAAACCCGTAACCCTAAATCCAAAACGCTTCAACCCTAAACCCTAGATCCAAAACCCCTAAACCCAAAATCCAAAACTCCTAAACCCTAAACCCTGACTCAAAAACGCCTTAACCCTAAACCCTAGATCCAAAAGCCTTCAAGCCTAAACTCCTGAACCCTGAATCCAAAACCCCCTTAAACCCTAAACCCTAAACATTAAATTCAAAAGGCTTAGAACCTAAACCCTAAATCGAAAACCCCGAAGCCCTGAACCCTAAGTCCAAGACCCCTAAACCCTAAATCCACAACCCCTAAACCCTAAACCGTAAATCCCAAATCCCTCAACCCTACACTCTAAATCCAAAACACCTTCATCCTAAACTCCAAATTCTACCCAAAGCCCCTCAAGCCTAAACTCTAAACCCTAAATGCAAAACCCCTAAACCCTAAATCCAAAATCCCTAACAACAAAACCCCTAACTCCAACACCCCTAAACCCTATATCCAAAACCCCTAAAGCCTAAATCCAAAACCCCTGAACCACGAATACCCCAAATCCAAAACCCTGAGACCCTAGACCTTACATCCTAAAACCCCTAAACCTCTGAGTGTCAGCAGTAAATCCAAGACCCTTAAATCCTGAACCTTAACCCCTAAATCCCAAACCCCGAAACTCTAAACCCTAAATCCAAGACCCCTGAACCCCAAACCCCCAACTTGAAAACCCCTAAACCCTGAACCCTAAATCCAAAACCGCTGAACCCAAAATCCAAAACCCCTAGACCCTAAACCCAAAATTCAAAACCCTTCAACCATAAACCAGAGATCCAAAACCCCTAAACCCTAAACGGTAAAGCCAAACCCCCTAGACCTTAAAACCTAAATCCAAAAGCCTTCAGCCCTAAACCCTAAACCCTAAATCCAAAGCAATCCGCACGGCCATAGCAAAAACCCTAAATCCAAAACCCTTCAATCCTAAATCCTAATACCTAAATCCAAAACCCCGAAACCCTAAACCCTAAATCAAAAACCCCGAAAACCTGAAACCCTAAATCCAAGACCCCTGAACCCCAAACCCCAACTCCAAAATCCCTAAACCCTGAACCCTAATCCAAAACCCCGAAACCCTAAACCCAAAATCCAAACCCCTATAGACCATAAACCCTAAATCCAAAACCCCTGAACCCCTACACCCTTAAACCCTAAATCCAAAACCCCTGAACCCCTACACCCCTAAACCTTAAATCCAAAACCCCAAACCTTAAATCCAAAACCCCTAGACCCT